CTACAATGTAAACAACGAACGGAACTTAACACGCCCCAAGCTGTAAATGAAGTTTCTTTAGCCAGTTTCGCGAATAACTTGGAATGTGTGTTTTGAATAGATTGCAGTCATGTCAATGCATGCCTCTCTGTCGAGGCAAACTGTCAATGCCTTTAATGGCTAACAAACTTATTCAAAATAATAACCATAGTATGACGACAGAATTTCAACTATTGAATTAACAATGCAAAATGTTCAATACTATACTCACATTTGTAATTAATTGTAAAGTCTCCGTAGTTTTTCAACTCCACATACATTAGGCCTATTGTTTGTATTTGAAACGCCACCTGGTGAGGTGTCAAAACAATTCATTATTCTTTTTCTAAAGCGTTATGATTAGGCCTATATCGATGATGTTGACGATTGTTGATGATTATGTTGATGATATGATGATGGTAGGGGAGACCAGGGTCAGTTGTTACAAAATTTACATATTGTTCCTTAATTACGTAATTGAATGAGACAGACACACCATTTTTATTCTAATGTAAGAACAGTATATTGGTTATAAAACGAAGCAATTACAACTGTCATATATCAATCCGTTAATTAATCATTAATAAATTAATGAAGTAGATCAACTGTAACAAATTACCCCTGGTCCGGTGTATATTGTTACACCGTGTGGGGAAAGTTGTTACATTGTACAAACTAGATAAAATGTTTAAAATATGCAAACAAACATGCTTTAAAAGTGTATAAAAGAGACAACATTATTATTCTAGCCTTATGGTTAACTGTAAGACCGCATTATAATGCATTTTAGCTACTCAACAAAACAGTCAATCAGAAATGTCCATTTCTTCTTCTTTACAAAATGAGCGCACGTGTAAAGTGCGCCTCCTTCGGTACACTCGCTTTGTGACCATCCTTGTTACAGTAACAACTTACCCGTAACAACTTACCGTACCCCACGTGCTATTTTTATATTGAAACATAGATAGTTTTGCTGTAGGCAGAAATGTGTGGTAATGGCCTATGAAAGTGTTAGGTAATGGCCATGCTTCACATAAATATATAAACTTTCTTTATTCATCTACATGAGGGAAAGCTATTACAGAAACGGTTTGTCATGAAAAATTTACTTTTGGGGTATAAAAACAAACATTTTACTTACATTTCCTGTCAAGCATTCGAATCGTCACACTACGGCCGGCGGTGTTGGATCTTACAGCGCCCTATAACATGACACCGGTTATACCTCCCTCTACTTTTCCTATTTGGGGAAAAGACCACTGTAACAATCTACCCCTGTAACAACTGACCCCGGTCTCCCCTAATGATGATGATAGTAGTGGTGGGGATGATGTTGATGGTAATGATGATGATGATGTCGATTACTGCTGATGATGATAATAATGATGCCAACGAATGATTATGTTGATGATTGTAGGATAAGAACAGACTTAAAAAAAAGCGACTACCAATGGAATCAGTATATAGGCTGTTACGTAACTTTTAATTCAACAATTTCAATGCACGATGAACGTAACGGGTGATGTAATAATGACCAAAATCATGAGAAAGGATGACGAACGAATAGGACAGCTCCCATTTCACAGTATACATCGATGCGTCCAAAGGCTGAACCAAAGTATGTTAATTTATTATTGATGTTCGCATTGCATTGTCTTTACAATGTCATATAAATTTTTTAATCCACCATGCGCTTGTTTTGTATTGCATGTACATTTCAACTTTTTTTTACCGTCCTTTTTGAGTAATTGTTGGAAATATCGCTAGCATACGTTCTAAAGCACTGTCCTCATTATGTTCAAGGCCATACTTTCGGATAAGACCATGCCTACTGCGCCACATACACGCGACGTCCCTTGAGGAGGAACCTAGAAGGGGTAGAGCCTCTACAGGTTTGCCACCTGCTATTTCCGGTCATCAAGAGGTGCCACTATTTCCAGAATTTGCTCACCTTAGCTCCGACAATGGTGGGGTTGAGTTGGACTCTAATTTCATGCGGACTTTAAATGTTGTGTCTTCCCATTTCAGGGAAACGGATCCACTGGTTACCAGCTACTTCCTCCGCGCATTCAGGTGCCAAAACAAAGTTGTTCACCAACAACCATGGAGGGTTTGGGTGGATATGCACTCAGACCCACTAACTTTAAAATCCTGTATGCATAGCGGGTCTGCAGTTTAACAGCCAAATACTACAGTATATTTTTCCCCTCTCGCGCCAACCCCCCACCCCTCCCCAACGCCGCTCTTATTTTAATGGCCTGACCACTTGCAAAATGCGTCTGATGGCTATGTAGTTTGATAGAATGACGGAATCAATAGGACACATTAATATACCGATACAGATAAATATATTAATGCATAGTAGACTGGTTCATAGACTGAAGTACTAATGGATTTTAGGACCAATACACTGATGGATTATGTGACTGATTTACTGATAGATTGACAGATTAATGAGTTGATAGATTCATGGATCAAGATACTGATAGATGATGATAATAATAAATATAGTTTTATATAGCGCAGAATGCTAGAAACCTCTATGCACTTTACATTAAAAGCAAAAGCCGGATCAGAATTAAAATAAAAGTTGATAGAAAATGAGCAAAAAATTTTTGTGCAATCAAATCAACAATCAGAAATTTATAAAAAATAATAGGTCAATAGACTGATCAACAGACTGCTTAATTTATTACTATTACTTTACAATGCAAACATTCAAACAAAATTTCAATTAATTTTATTAAGGCACCAGTGCATAAATCACACAGTTCAGGTGCGGATCCGGTAGGGGGAAGATGTGTGCAAGATGTGTATAAGAGACAGGTATTTTTGGGTGTAACTAAGGGGTGCAGCGTTATCTGAGGACCGGAGCTGGGGGTGGGTATGGGAGGGGGGTCCCCTCCTCCCAAAATGAGATTAAAAAAAAAATTGGGACTTCTAGATGGCCGGAAATGGCTGGGATGGGAAAAGTATGCCTATTTTTTTTTTTTTTTGTCCAACTGCCCGACGAGCTTTGGCCGATTGGGGTGGGGGGTTTGACCAGACCAATGGCACCGCCACAATATTAATATATTAATGCAAGTTAATCTATCTATCCACGTTCTAAGCATTCATCAGTCTGTTAATCCATCAGTCTATTGATCCATTGTGTATATTGGCAGACAAATGTCCCCCACAGTCAATCCATTAGTTTGTTTATCATTAATCTATCAATATTATTGATATATTATTCCAACAGTCAATCTATCAGTTTATCATCAATCTACCAATATTATTGATATATTCCAACAGTCAATCCATCAGTTTGTCTATTATTAACCTACCAATATTATTGATATATTCCAACAGTCAATCCATCAGTTTGTCTATTATTAATCTACCAATATTATTGATATATTCCAACAGTCAATCCATCAGCCTATTCAGAAACTTATGCATTCATCAGTCTGCCAATCCATCAGTCTACCAATCATCCATAAGTATATCAATAAAGTACTGAATCAATTAAACATTGAAAGCTTATAAATTTATCAACAGGTCCACTGATTAATCTCAGATAAGATAGCATAATACATACTACAAGTATCGAAATGCACGCCATCGTGTCAGGATTCAATATTTTAACATTAATTAGGTATGATGATGACATAATTAATGTCGAAATATTGAATCCATCGTTTCAGGATTCAATATTTCGACATTATATCATCATCAGGAATGGTCATTCCTGATGGTGACATAATTAATGTTGAAATATTGAATCCAGACACGATGGCATGCATTTCGATACTTGTAGCATGTATTATACTATCTTATAAATTTATAATACACAAAATAAACGATAAAAACAAGAATGTGACAAATCATTTGAAGGAAAACATTTATTACTCTGTACAATCATGATAAACAAAACACAATGCTGCATTTCTGACAAAGCGTTAGAAAAAAAAAAAATTATGAATGGCGAAACAATGCATTGGTCCAAAAAGTGTAAAAAAAACAATAGTGGCGGGTGAAATTCCTTATATTTTATGAAGGTCATAGGTCATTGTTGACGATATCCAAGATAAACATGCACCCGGCCAGCATACAATTATGCACATGATTCTGAGCGTGTCTAAGGGGCAATAGCAAAAGTCACGTCTCAACACGTTTGTTGTGGTTCTATTAAATGCTTCATTAGCTAATATAATAATGAATCACTTAACATTATTCTAAAGCAAATATCCTTTCAGATTTAATTCCCACATTCCGGTCGACAAAATATATTTGTCGAAAATTCAACTGAGTACAAAATAACTAAGATGCTAATCAGACACTCGTAAAAAAAAAATGATCACTGTATTATATACACTTTTGTGTATCCAAGCAACTAGACTACATTTTGGATAATTTTGAATATCTACAATTTAACCACAAAAGGTTTATCTTCACAATACAAACTTATTCAATTCTTTCATTTTTACTTATTTTTAACAATGCTTTATGAAAAGCCCACAACAGAATAAGGCAATTTGCTACATCGAAGGCTTCTTCTCACTATCACTTGAAAACGACGATATACGTCACTCGGTAACCCATCATTTAAAAAGAGCATTATGATGATAATGATGAAAATAATAAAAATAACACCATCGATACATACACATCAATTATTCTTTACAAGATGTCTTGGATACAAATTTTGGCAAGTATTTTAACTTAAAGTTTATGTTTACTTCTCTTAATAAACTATACATGTTTAAACGAACAAAAAGTCATTATCTGTTATCGCTCACAATCATGTTATAAAACAAAACAAAAAAAACTAATAATTCATAGAACATTTTCATACTCTGCACTGACAACAAACAATGGCATTTATCAAAATATTATAAATAAGACACACTAATATATATAGGGCTATTATTTACCTATTAGAGTTTCACAAGCAGTAACTTGGCAGAAGTACACATAGCTTTTCACTAAACATTAAATCATGCATTTATCTCCATATCTCTTGTATGATATTAATGTCGTCTAGTACTCTGGTTTTGTGTTTATTTTTCTAAATCTACATTCTACAAGCATGCTTCTTAAACTGTGTCCACACTAACACATTTGTGTTATGTGCCTATATATGGGCATGATGTCATATTATTATACCCAAACATGGGCATAATAAAATGTAATAGTGTAAACGGAGCTTTATAGTTAACATTCATTGAAACTTATCTAAAATGAAATATAATCAAACACCGGCACACTGACATAGTACAAATAACATAAATAATACTACAATATAATTACTGTAATATTACAATTAATTCTCCTAAGCTGTATTTCTACCTACAGTACACAAAACAGCACAGATGAAAAGCGATCAAGTCCCCATTCTATCAGAATCAACAATGTTTTTTTTTTGTCTTTTCTAAAGCATGATTAGAAATACACAAGTTATCTCTTGGGACTTATCCCAATAAAAGTTAACTCCCTATTTTACTAAAAAAAAAAAATCTCATCAATCTTCAGTTTATTTCTTACAGTCCTTAGTTCACTCATTTTCATATATAGTAAATGTCAACAACATTAGGTATGGGATTGCGACTTGACACAGATCTAGTTTCCTAGATAATAATTTGCCTGATGAAAAAAAAAAAAGTTCAGCTATGTACAAAGCTGTTATGCTCAATGTTTTATTAACATTTTATAAAAATAGAATATGGTGAGGACCTAGAGATGAAACCTCCAGGGGCTTGTCCTAATATCGAAAAATGAGGACATAAATTATATCATCAAAAATTCATTAGTATCTTAGGCTTGTCCACAACTATCAAATTTTACATGACAAACTTGCCTATATTTAGGCATATATAATTTATTTGTCGCATAAAATTTGATAGTGAAGACATAGCTTAATGCTCTGTCAACGCACTCAAATTTTATGCGACAAATTTGTTTGATGTGACCATATATGGGTATGATGATGTCATATCACTCCCAAATATGGGCATGTCACAGTTATTTGTCACATAAAAATGTGGACAAGAGCTAAGATTATAATTTAAGACACTTTAGAGAAGCAAGCAAATCTGATGAATATCTACCACATATTTCTCAAAATTCTTAAATCGCCATTAATTATGATTATAAACTAGAAAAAATGTAGAATATGTCTGTCCAGATTAATTAAAGGATCACTAAATCAAGATCAATGTATGATTATATAGTTGCAAACAGAAGGAAATTGCTTCAACAAAGTTGCAGAGACAGGTGAAATCAGTATATCAGATCACAGTTGCAAATACTTGGAGAATTACTATACTGTAGTTGCAACAGAGTTGCAACGGTAAATAGTTATTACTTTACATCATGCAGTTGCAACAGAGTTGCAGATACTGGGAAAAATCAGTAAAACTTAATTGCAACAAAACAGTAGAAGAGAAAATTACTACTTTGGATCATGGTTGCAGCAGAGTTGTACATCCTGCCAAATCACTACATGAGATCACAGGGTTTCAGAGGAAAGGAAAATCACATCAGACTACAGTTGCAACAGAGTTGATAGGGAGGGGAAAGTGTTGTATGATCACATTTTATGAGATCACAGTTGCAATAAATGAGAAGTCACACCAAGATAGCATTTCAGTTACAAAAGCTTTGGGGGCTCGGTAAAATTACTACAATTTACAGATCACAGATATAGAATAAATACATCGTTAATAGTTCAAGCTTACATCGCTACACTGAGATGTAACAGACTTGTACGTGTTGTGTGCGTTTACCACAGCTGACTGACCACCAATCTGATTGGTGGATTATTATTACATAATCAATAAAAATCAAGCAACGTATACACTAAATGTGTACATGGGTTATTCCACTATCGGCTAAGCGCACCTGATCAACATCAAAATCAAGGTTTTTAAACACAACTTGAATAGAGATTTAAAACAATGCAAGCCCACAGAAATATAATTATAATGTATTTAAATACAGTTACTTTTTTTGGTGAATATGCAACTATTTTAATTAAACTAGTAAATTATGTATATTATATGCACAGACTGGTATTTTGAAATACAGGTCATAAGACATATCTGAGGGAATATATGGGTGAGCTGAAATGCTACAGCATCTGCAGGTTCATATTCAAAAGGGTATCAATACTTAATTCCTTATAAGCTAGACATAGAATATAGGATCTAGGCAGTTTTAGAAGTTTTATCAGACTGTTAGTGATGAACTGTAGCATTCACCCAACAGAAATAGAAAGATACATGATTTGTTTGATCAGAAATGTCTGAAACAAGTATTCAATATCACACAAAATCTGTTCAGATATTTCATAGTGTGAACAATTTCAGCAAGTACTTTCCACTGGAATACATTTTGTAGGTATGTCTGAAACAATTATCAAACAAAATTTGATCTGTGTCTGACAAACTAAACTCGGATAATATATGCCTAGCCTCAAAATGGTCAAATTCCAAAATGAAGCTGATAACTAATAAAATATTTCACGAGCACTATGTTATAATGACTAGTAGGCGTTCAGTACTTGAAGCTTAGCTCAATATTTGCATTTAATTTATGCAATCTTCACAGCCTTTCAAGGATGACATTTCAAAATGTGAACATTTCATGTCAGTTACTCAATTAAAAATCAAGATTTGCTCTTAACCATGGCAAACACCATCACACAGAATCTTACATTGTAGCACTATCATCATAATTCACCAACACATTCTCGCATAGGCATATCTTTGACATAAATTCAACAAATTTTAATCTGATAATTTCAAATTTCTAATTGGTTTTTCTGTAATGTTGCTTATTAATAATTTTCAAATGGAAGTACAGTAATTTGATTTCAAATACTTAATTCATTATTCATAAATATTTTTTGTGCAAATGCTGGATTTGAACCTAAGAACTTCCAGTTATATTCAGTTACTCTACCAACTGAGCTTAGATACTGATAAAATCAATTAGCAATTTTTATGTTTTAAATCATACGATTTATCAATTGTGAATTATTTTATTCTCCATTAATGAACTTTCAACAATATATTGCGAGGTTCCAACAAGTGCTAAAATGATACATTTGGGCAAATCTGAAACCACCTAGAGTAGAGTGGATGACTCATTGATAATTTCAGATCAACAGTATTTATAAACAGAACATTTCAAATGTTTATCACATATCGTTCAACGGACGTGATTTCGAATAAGAGAGAAGCTATAAATTTGTCTCAAGTGTACTTAACAAAACCAAAAAAGTCAACTACAGTAAGTGTTTCCAAGAATTGACATAAAATTTTAAAAAATTATGGATATAATTGCTCTAAAAATGTACAAACTAAAATTTACATTAAAAATCTAATTTTTGTCATAAGTTACAAAAAAAAAAAACAGGTTGACAATATTAAATGAATATTCTAGTTCTGAAGTGCTGTCTTAAATTAGCCTTTCGATTACATCTGGTAGCCATTAGAGTGAAACAGAATTAAACCTACAGAGACTGGGTGATGAGTTAGCATTGATAGTTTGTTACGGCTTGCTGAATATCCTGCAAAAACACCAGCTTAAAAAAAAAACTCCATAAGTTTAAGATTACAAAAATAACATTCTAACTGGCATATATTATTTTAGTTTTGATAATTTTACTTATATGTTGTCCTGTGCATCCTGCTAAGTAAGGTATTTATTAGTTATTTATTTTTCATGGTTTATTAAGTAACCCATTGTAAATGTAAATGTTTCTGTTTAACTGATACCCCACATGGCTAGTTTATTGATAATAATTATTAACTGCTCTCATAAACAAAACTGTAAGATTTTTTTATTTCTTGTATAATGATTATTTGCAAAGGTTAACAGGAAATTATATAAAAAATATTCTCACTAATCGATTGAATGAAATCAGAATAACTGGGCAGCATTTCAAAAACTGTTTAGCATATTTCATGGGAAGGTTTCGACTCATATTCTCTGCTAGAATATCTATGCGTAGTTCTAGGTGTACACAACATACAAAATGCAAACAAACATCACACTTGTGTTAATACTATGGAGTTTTATGTGATGAATACATATGATTTGCCCATATATGGGTGTAGTATGACATCATCATTCCCATATATGTTCGAATTGAATATAATTCTCCATGCTTGTACATTCTAGTATAAATTCAATGACAAGCATGTACAATAGCGTACATGTTTGTGCGTAATGGCCATCGCAGACTAATTGATATAAATTTCGTAGCGCGAACAGAGCTTAAACAGGTAGACTTATTCTGTCTTAGCATTTTCCTGCTCATCCCCTCATGTTTGACCTTGAAGTTCATACCTGGACCACTCATCAGCTTGTTAATTTCAACCCCTGCAAACGCTTACAAGCAAACAGGGTGTGCATCCAAGCATGAAATCTACGTTGTTTAATGGATTAATCAGTCCCATCATAACCACATCACTGCGTGTCCAATCACGATGATGCCTATTATTCCATTCCAAACACACTTCTCTTTTCCACGTGATGGGTTTTTACTAAGCATATCACATCCCATCTTAGACACATTACATGCAATGTTCTAAACAAGCTTCTCACAGTGAAACCTATTACGCCTCACATTCGCAACACACATTCTACACATTAAAAACCTATCACATCTCACCTTCCTAACAGGCATTTTTCTGCAAAAAAAAACCGCATCGTTTCCACCATGCAAACACATTTCTTGTTCCACAATAAATCCTGCCACATCCCACTTCTTTACCAGACTCCAGATCCTTCAATTTATTTAATTTTTTTCCTACTTAACTGTTTCAAGCAACAAATATTACATCTCATTTCCATTCATGTTTTAACACCATATTTACGAGGATATAACAACACGATATTTCCCCGATAAAACATACCACTTAACTTGACAATAATGTGTCTGACAATTCGCAGCTAGAAATTTCCTCATGTCGTTAAGGTGTTAGGCTGTCCAAATCAGCAATAGACATATAGGTTGAGGTATAGGCAGTTGAAGTCAAATTATCGCGTATAATGGAAAGATAAATTTCAGTAATGTTTTTCTCATCACAGCACCACCTCCATTAATGTCAAAATATTATTAATGTGTACTTCAGTGTAAAACGGTATTCATAGGCTATATATCGCTGCTATAAAGAATCGGCGTCTGAACGACTTTTGGCGAAAACATTAACAAAGGTGATTTTGTTAACCCGATGTAATAAGTTTGTTAAAAACACAAAATCGCAGGTAACTACTTCAACTACCCACGACCTCCATAGTAACTAGACAACTAATGGGTTTGGTGAATTCTTAAACATCAAGAGTTTCTACAAAAGTAAAATAATAGATAACACAAATCATATCAACAGGATTTTCAAAAGATAAAAATTAATTTGTCCAAAATGTGCATATATATGTAAATAAATAAATTTGGTTTTAATATCTGAGTTTAAGGGTTTCCATTGTCCACAAATTTGTTAGCGACACATGATTACATATTCTTAAGTACATGGCAACATCTTTTAAGGCCAACTCTAATAGCATCATACAACGCGGCCCGATGCGATTTATCGTCGGAGGACAGTCTTAAGCAGTCGTGAGGAACATTAAACATGTTTAATATTCTACGTGACTTCCACAGATCTGACGCGACAACTAATCGTGTCGGGCAACGCTGTACGACACTGTCTGAGTTGGCCTTTACACTCATTTCGTTCAATATTTTCATTATTTGTATGAACAGTATACCTTGATCAGCTTTCACATATTTTCAAGCAAAACAAATAACATTTTTTTCTCTAAAAAAAAATTATGAAAACCTTAGTTGAGTTTTCACTTCAATTAACCACCAAAAAAATATGTAATTTTTTTGGCTCAAAGCATTAGAATAGTACTAGACTAGACATTACATAGGAGGGAGGTCATGACACCGAAGATATGGGAACTTCCGACGACCCCATTTGCGTCAGCACTTTGTCTAGCCACTGCAGTGGACCGTTCAGATGGATCTCTATCCAACATGGTGTGCTAGTGACATCTTGTCTGTGATACTCCGCGCCCCATCCCTTCACGAAGCTCATACGGATTGTACACATCTTGGTCAGCTCGTAAACTGCCTCAAATCCATGGTTGACGGACTGCGAGAGCAGGGCTGCGAACTCCTGGTTGTTGAATATCTTCAAGCTGCAACCGGGTGGTATTTTACAAACTGTCGTCGGGTGAAAACCGTGATGGTAATTACAGTTGCGACTCTGTACGAAGATGCTACTGTCGCTCAGGCATTCGGCATAAACCTCACCGCCTACATAGTACAGATGAACACCTGGAGATTGAATAAAAAGCATAATTAAACCATATATCTTATTTTTAATTTTTTTCATATATAATTTATTACCTATTCCTTGAAAGCATTTTCCCCTGTTAACTTTCTTTACTGTTCAATCCATAAATCGCCAAAAATTTAAGGATCTATGTGAAAGATTAAGGGTAACTGTATTTTTTATGTTATTAGCGGCAGTTTTCTGCAGCAGTTGAGGCTTTCAATCATAAGGTTGGGGTTTCGAGTCTCCGCTGTGCAGATTCGTTTGTGTCCTTGGGCAAGGCACTTTAGCTACATTGTTTCAGTCCACCCAGCTGTATTAATGGGTACCAGCAAACTGCTGGGGACTAACCTGCGATGGACTAGTCCCCCATCCAGGGGGAGTACAACTCTCATCCGCTTCACACTACAGAAACTGGGCATAAGGTACAGCCCTATGAGCCCAGTGGCTTGGAAAGGATTTTTTTTAGTATTTTATATGTGCCCATTAATTGGCAAATATATATTAAAAATCCTTTGTGTGCAATCATCTGCCTATACATTTTTTGCTGAAAAAACTTTGTTACTATATGGTCCAATATCAATCATCTGTAAAAATGTAGTGTTAAAACTGAGCAAAGCAGTATAAAAGAAGTGCAAGGAGCCAGGCGTATCCAGGAGCACTAAATTATACACATCTAGATGTGTATAAGAGGAATGTTGGAGGGGTGCAAAGGTGAAGGAAGCTTGAAGCCAGCAAACAAAAAAAATGAGGTGGTCTTTAATTACTTTAGCACAATTGTATTGCTTTGAACATTTTCAATTTGAAAGGGAGTAGGGCGCAACTTGTAGATACGCAACTACATGGAGCATATTGGAAAGTCAAATTTTACAGTAACATGTTGAAGATTATGTGCAGCTCTTTAACCTTTGAATAAAATGTGACCAGGGAAAACTACTATAATCCATTGATATATTACCGATGTGCTAGGTAGCTGCTTTTTACCAGATGTTTAAGTTAGTGTGTAGCTGTTTGACCCATTTTTATGCCAACTCTGGCTTTATACAATGTAGGTTCGCAGCCCATTTCACTGTGCTTCATGAACCATCTTTCCAACCATGGATTTCATTTATTCTAAAAAAAAAAGTCTACATATAAATATGAAAATAGCCCAAGGCAGTCAATGAACTAGGAGCTTATGTCTGTCAATGATTCATAAACCATATCTAGGAGGGATATTACCTAGCCTAGATTTTATAATTAATGAGTGTCCAATTACACTTGGCCACCAGAGGTATCTTAGCTACTACTACTTCTTGTCTATAATACAAGAATTATGAAGCTTGTGTAATCTGAACTCGAATGAATATATTTCGCAGAATAAAACACAAAAACAATACAAGAAAATGTCAAAGCAAGATACAATTGAAAACTCCGAAAGCAAGAAATAGTTCAAAAAGGTTTCAAAGAAATTCCATTGGGAACCTGCAAGCAGAACATTTTTAAAATATACAATATTAAAATATCAACAATTTACTGTGTAATTCATTCAGCTTATCATCAGTATTTTTGCTACAATGTATTAGATCTTTTTGCAATCAGGGAGCAACAATTACCATCAGAGTAACTATTTCAGCATAGGGCCGCACAGAGGATTTTTTAGAAATGTTAAATCGTTTTAATCGCAAATTTTTCTTACGTATTGTATAAGATTCAAATTACTATATTATATTTCAATTTGCAAAAAATTATTCAATATTTGGTATTTAACATTTAATTGGCAATTTTTTGTTGAAAATAAAACATCATTTATGACTGAATTTTGGTACTGTAATCGTTTTAGCATAGAACACATATTGTATGCCAATTGATTTTGAAACTCCAACTTTTAGGATGGGTCAATAAAATATTATCTCATCTTGTGAAAATATAGTAAATAATATCAATAGAGCAAGATATTACAAAAATTAAAAATATACAAACAAGTTTTAATCAGTAACGTATTCATAAAACAATGTAATTGTAATACAATTTGAATTATAAATAATTTAATATTGTAAACTTTCTTCTGATTAAACTAATTAAATTTTCAAAATTATACCATTTATAAATTAATTACTGTTGGCCTACATTTTTCGACTGAATTCTTCTCAAGGCAACATAATCAAGATAAATATGCAGTTGTCATGGAAACCATTATAAATTTAGAATATTATGTTATGGCATGAAATGTAGCTTAGCAACCAGTGTCACCTTTGGTCTGAAGTGTCATCTAAGACGGATAAGGAATTTACGGAGACTATGTAAAGCAATTTGTCATATCATAATATCTATTAACATATCATTTCTGATACAGCTAGCTGCATGATACGGCCACAAACATGCAACAATGCGATTCGGTTTACATATTTGTTATAAAATTAAATCTGGATTTTCAAAACAATTTTGATAATGAATTTCAATAAAGCAGACAATGAAAATTTCTCTTTTTTGAGAATGAATAGATTATATGTGACCTTTGAATAAAATCTGTCTAGGGATTTTAAATACAACTAATATAATCCACTGATGATACCCATGAGTTGGCAACATCAAATTTTAGAGATAGAGAGTATAATTCAGACTAACATAACACTGGTGGTTTCATTGGTTTTAAATTAAAAATATAAATGCTTAAACAACATTGCTTTTTATTTTTCTGCTATTTAAAATGTTAAAAAAATAATAAAGCTTGTCTTACATTTTAAAAATGTTGGTTTTTATAGTTTATGAGTAATTAATAAATTATTCAATAAAAACTGGCAAAGTGGAGTTCCAATGCCAATGTCCTGACACAACTCAATACTAAGCCTCGTAATGAGACTTAGTAAAACATCAAGGAGGGCACAAATGATCAGCTCTCCACTCATTTATTATTGCAAAAAGATTATTTATTATAGCATCAGGGCTAAAAAATTATTAGCTCTTTACTTCCAAGCCTGATAAAAAGACGAATACATGGAGGGCCTCAAATTATCAGCTCTTCCCTTCTTAAGCCTCACAAAAAGACTTGGTTAGAGCATCAAGGGCAAATTGATCAGCTTCCCACTCTAAAAAAGCCTAAAAGAGGCTCGCTTACAGACTATTAATGGTGCCAAATGTCCAGCTCCCCTATCTTCAAGCCTCATAGATAGACTTGGTTATAGGGCCTCAAACATAAACTCTTCACTCCACGAGTGTCATAGAAAGACTTGCAGCACTGAAGGCCCTAAGTGATCAGTTTCTGACTTTCCAAGCCTAATACAGAGACTTAATTATAGCATCGATGGCCATAAATCAGACTTGGTTATCAAGAACCCCAAACAGCATCACCTCACAAATGGCTTTCACAAAAATAACTTTCGCTATACACACCTTTTCCAATGTGTCTTCTCGTGTTCTCGATGGTGGAATTTCGATTGACGTTCGACAGTAATCCAAGGCAGAAACGATCCGAATTGCTTGAAGGATTGGTGAAGCCGTCGACGATCACACTCGTGCCGTTCGCATGGAAGGGCTCCCCCACACGACAATTGAGTTCAAAGTAGGCTATGGCACACCAGCACTGCGGCTCTTGGTACGTTACTGGCTGAACATCTATTGCTTAAAAAACATGACTAAGGTAAGTATGTCGTTAGACAAAAACAATTTTGAAATAATTAGAATGAAAACAATAATTAACAATAACATTATTAATATCAAAACAACTGAAAACAAATTATATCATTTGAAAAAAATAGGCTCCCAGCGGGAGCATGTGTCTACTGACTTATACAATAGTTTTTTTTTGTTTTGTTTTTTTTTATTGTATCTTATGTTCTTCAATATGCAGATGTGTGTATTATTGTAGTGTATCTGGATTTTTCATGAAAATTTTCTTCATAACAATGTTCTGTATAGGCCTACAACTATATTACACTAAAAACACTTTAAAAATGAGTAACTTTGGGAGTTACCACATTATGTCGTTGATCATTTAGAGTACTACCATGTTCTAGAGGGTGTCCTTCAAATGATGGTTGGGGGCAGTAGACACAAAAATGGAAACATAAGGCTTAGGGACAATCAAGAAATGTGATTGGGCATTTCCAGAGTGTCAATTAAACTTAACTACTGACCAATCAGAACATCTCTAAGATTACGCATGTTTATGTACGTTAATGCTACCTCTTTTGTGGGCCTTAGCAACAATATCCAAAGGACGTGGCTTAGCAGGAAGGTCGATTGGTAAAGCGGTTGCCATTTACTGCAGCATCTCAAACCTTAAAGGGGGTCAATCCCTCACTTGTGTCCATAAGCCAAGGCACTTTACAAGTACAGTTCCCAGGAATACAAGTGGGTATCTGGTAGGTTCAAACACAAAATGCGCCGACACTAGCGGCAACATTATGGAATTCTCCCCCCAGGGAACTGAGTATGTGTTCCATAAATTATGTGTTCCATAAATGTGCAAGACCCAATGACCAGATTTAATAATGTGAAGCATTTGAAGCCTTGTTGGCATTAAGTGCTATAAACAGTAATCTAACATATTATTATTATTATTGCAGGTGGGTGCAATGGTTAAACATTGATTCCTAAATAATGAAGTGCTCTATAACCTATATTTTACAGGAGCATTTTGATGGAAATGAACTAGGGAAAGGTCTCCACGGTTCACATGTTTCAAACTATATCACATCCGACATCTACTCCATCAGTGGAGCAAGGTTCACAGAAAAATCCTTTTCTCCTGTCAGCTGAGAACATAGCTCTCATCAGCTTAATTCTAAGAATAACTAACTACAGACAATATGACCTAGAAGCTTCCCAATACCTTATAGTAGTTCTTGTAGCAGCTGAGCAGAATAAACAAGTTCATATGAACTACAGTAAACTATGATTCATTATAATAACACACCTACACAATCCCATTGTCCCTTGATTTCTTACCTGTATTTCTCAACATCTTAATCGGAGATAAAAAAAAAACAAATACCTCATTCGCAACTCTCTTTTTATTAATTTCACAAAGAAAATAACATTTTGGGACGCCACTTCCATTATTTAAAACTACAAGCCAAGACACTTAAAAAAATCCAGCAGAAATTCAAACATCCTCATAAGCAATGGGTAAGTATGTCCAGTGACGGCTCTGCAGGGCTCTAAGGATTTCTCCTCCATTTAGATTACACAAGTCAAGCCTACCCTTCGTCCCACACAAACCCACTAATCGTCAGTCCAAAAAAACAAAACAAAAATGGGCACAAAATGCCTTAAAACATAGTTTTTCTAGGTGTCAGGGGATTTAGCATCCCAGGAGCCAAACACCTTTGACCCTAGATCCCACTCTGCTGAAAATAATTAGACCCCTGTCTGAAACAAATTTTTCCCGAGAGGCCACACCTGTGGGTGTCAGGCGAGACCTACATGTGTGTAGTTGCTCATTTTGATGAAGGAAAAAGGGAATCTCATGGGTGAAAAAGGGATTTTTTTGTATAATTACAACAAGCTCTTTTCTAGAAGTTTAGTTTGCGATAAAGACAAACTTTTCAGGATTCTACCTAAAGTTATTTCAGTTCATTCTTTGTCTTGAATTTCTAACCATTCCCCATCGTAAACGAGGTTAATTAAATCAAGCTAAGCAAAGCAGACAGAATCCAGGTAAACAGATAGGTAATTCACATATTAACTGCCTCGTTAAACAACTGTCCAGTCTAGTTCATCAGGCTAAAGTTGTTGCCAGCAAAACATTGGATTATCACACATGGAATTACTTAGTTTGTTTTAGGTGAGCCAAGTCCAGGGTTCATGACTTCAATGTAGGGGTTTAAAGGAACCCTAGTGAAGTTTTTTTTAGGTACTGTACATTACTGAGGTTGCACAGAAGTAATATGGTTAGCTATAATAAATTACGGCCTTCCTTGTTATTTTTCAGAAAACAATACTCATATACTAGATACTATATGGTCAGCTACTGTAACACCACAACAAAAGAAATTTATCAACATTAATAAGGAAAATAAAAATAATTATTTTATCAAATTGTCAACTTTTTCATAATTGATCCACAGTAGTCTATTCAAAGTAAATATTTTGTGTTCAGTGTTAATTGTGGGGATTTAATTCAATTTTTCAATTTTTATTGTTATTCTTTCAAATTTGGAATTAAGAATTGCGGCTGGGCCTCTGGGAACACGCGGCATGCATACCGCATCGGTACAGTACATGTCCCATGTTATGCCTTATTCTCCAGCGAGGATTTATTTAAAATTAAAATCCAATGTTGGCCGGATTTTAACCTTGGTCTTCAGGACAAGAAGCAAGAACATTATACCTAAAGCCGAATTTATTTGCACGAATCAAAAGCGTCGGTTCCCTTCCTGAGCTCTGATTGGTTGCACATTTTTTTTCACTTCGCTAAAAGTAGAAACAGTTCATACTACTGATTTCGCTGAAGAAACTTCCGATGGAAATGTGAATATGCACATGAACCAACTTTTGATTCGCACAAACAAATTTGCCAAGTAGAAAACAAACTTCAGCCGAACGCTCAGCTGACTAAGCTAGCACTGTAAAGATAGTATTATTTCTATAACAACAAATGGACTATAGAGTTGATTAGTAACATATTGTTTAAGTATGAGTAATCATACAATCTGATTTTCTATAACTAGGTCATTGACCTGTGTCTATCTACTGAGCACACACTGTTTTTTGGCCACCAGTTTCTAGGAATTACTGTATTAAATTTCTAGATGGTAAGTCAATGATTTCCAGTTGTCACTCAGCTTGAATTACAACAAATCTCTCTTCTGTCTCCATAGACAATCAGTTCTCCGGAATTATGTATTTCGGTTAAGGAAAGACTCGTATCTTGTTTAGTGAACTTTTATTTTGATAGATCTTCAGAATCAGAGATTGGAAAAAAAAATGAAAATAAAATTTTTTTAACTGAATTTCTATATTGTCAGTCAATGATTGCTAGTTTTCAGTTGGTTTGAATTACTATAATTCTCCCATCAGTCTCCATAGACAATCAGTTCTCAGAATTACATAGATTGGTTACAGCAAGAATGATATTTTTATATTTTTTATTTTATCTTATTTAGCAAAATATACTTTGAAAGATCTGCAGAGGACAAGGAAAAGAAATGTAAATAAAATGTTCTTTCCTCATTTATAAAAATGGTTTTGCCAACATCATCTAGCCTGAGGAGAAACTATAACTAAAAGTGTAAAAGAAATTGTGTAGCACCCCTCGGCCCGACAGTAATTTTTTGCGGCCCGTGAAAATGAATTAAAAACCGTATATGTGTGGCCCGCCAAATATCTTTGGCTAGAAAACACCTTGTTTTTTGTACGGCCAGACTCGATCATCTCTAAAAAGAAGTAATTAAACTGAGAATATAGTGGTGTAAAAGTAGTGCATTAAGGTTTTTGGAAGCTCACAGGAAACATCAAGGCTTGGGTGTGGCCCTCGGTGTTAAGTCTAAAATTGACTTTGGCCTTCCGACCGTTTTTTATGCCCACCCCTGGTGTAGGAGGCAACAAAATAAATAAAGGGTGAACACAATCGAGTTGGTTGTAAAGACTGTGTAGCGATAGAAACAGTAATCCTGTTTAAAAAAAAAGAGGAGGAAGTAAGGATTTCTTAATGGGAGAACTTCATTGTGGCTGTCATGAATTTCTACTTGACGTATTTCAGAGCGGTAAAGAAATGACAAGGAATCCCTTTTTGACATATAAAATATGAACATAGTTCACAATGTTGTAACAAAACTCTCAAATAAACCTTTATTCTGTATAAACTCCAAGAAGAATCAAGTATCAAAATAACACAACAACATTCACATAAACCTGTTTCAAAAAGAGCTCTAGAAAGATAAAACTGTCAGCTTATATAACCCTAGCTGTACAACTCCAGAGCATTCAAGAACATTCTATATTGCTTAAGTTCCTCATTGGTTACCTTACATCATAATTAACCAATAGCCTTACTGCCTCAATAGTACCCAAGATTCCAGAAGCTTCCAAATATTACTTTGGATTCTACATGTGGTTTACACTGTTTGTTTGGTCACATAAATGTAATTCTATGTATTAAATATATTATACTAAGGAAAGGAATGGTAATTTATTACAGTGGCAGAGGCATGAAAACAATAAGCCCTATTTATCTAAATTTTGTTTTACATCATTATCGGCTGTCGATGCGTTCTTGAAACAAGGTATAGAAGTCTCGACCAAATCAAGAATATTTGAAAAAGAGAATGATCCACAAACCCCCTTTCTCATTTCTTCAAAAGCATGGCCACCACACAGAGCTGTACATTACCAGTCAGACTAACCACCCATTGACACTATTATAAAGATATGAATTTCAGCATGATCTTCTGGATGCAGAACTTTTTATGAGCCACTATATTCAGTCATGAATGTACAAAAATTGTATAAAAATATTTGAATAAAGAGGTAGTGTACAACTACAGTAGTAGACTACTAACTTTTAATAGTAAATATATGTATCAATGTTTAATTATGTTTAGATGATGGAAGGGGCCTAGATCAAAATATGCAAAACTAACCTCTCATTGAGCGATTGTTAGGAACAGGTCCTGAGTTGGTTTCCATTGGTTCATTTGAAATCTGGTCCTCAGGTGGCACATATGCAGGTGGTGGTGTGTCAGCTGAAAATTAATATTCAGATTCATTAATGAATATTCAACAAAATTATGCAAAGTATTCTTAATACTATTACATTTTATCTGCTGTTGGCAGTGTATCAATTAAAGATTAATATGCAGATATTTAAATTTCATTAAAATTATAATAAATATTGAACATTTATGCAAAGTATTTAGCTCATACAGTAGGTAAGTTACAGTACACCACCTATGAACAATGCTTAGCGTGCACCCTGTAACATTTTTTGTGTTATAAATTGGGTATACTAGCCTAACATCTTGAAAAAAACATACTGCGCTACAGATTGGCAGAGTATAATATATAATATAAATATTATTTATTTGGTGCTAACACGATTTGAAACATTGACCTGCCATGAATCTTTGCTACTGGAAAACAACCGGAAGGTATACTTGGTAATTACCTTTATGGCTAGACTATACTGAGGTTCTTATTATACAAGGCTAGACTGGGGATCTTATTATACAAGGCTAGACTGGGGATATGATCCAGTGTGATCAAGATAATTTACTAGGGTTCAAAAGGTTTACACTCATCTAGTTTTACTTTACATTTGAACCAAATGCTGTGCTCAACATCACAATTTAATTTAGTACTCTTTTAAATCATTACGTTGGTCAGCTATTTTTTTTTTCAAATACCATACAGCACATAGCAGGTATAATGTTTCAACAGCTGAATGGAAGTCCTACTACATGATGCAAAGTTTGGTTCATTTAAAATTATATTCACCTTTATTTATTGTTGTAAACCTGCAATAAATCTGGACAAGTTTTACAATTTTATTCAGCAAAATCCAGATATAGAAAGGAGAGGGGAAGGCAGGGTTATCCGTACACAGCACTATACATTTAATAAGATCCCATATATTTTTTATCATCAATATTTTACTACATTATTATTTTCTTTCTGTTAACAACTTGTCTATTCAATATTTTCAGTTACTTCATTATATTAGACTGTCAATTGTAACTAGATTCTCATCCCTGTAAAGTCGGGGTCTTCTTCTTCCGTCATCTTCCGTTAAGTTTGCCGCCCTCATCTTGTTGAAGATTCTGCAACTGTACAAGGTCATGCGTGTCTGTGTTTGGCTCACACTATATCGTACACCGGCAGTACAACCATTTGCCGACGAATCCATTTCCGCACTCTGTGAGCGATTGAAAGAGCGTCGCCATCTACAAATTGTCAGTTTAGTTTTGACTATACAGTCATTCTCCATGAGATTACCAGCAGACGACTGCTGGCGCAAGTGTATGCCTGGTGTTAGTTACTTTCAAAATAAAACACTTAAAAGATGCAAATTAAAAATTACCTGGCAACCCGTAGGGGCTTCCTGGGCCAGAGCTTGCCGGTGAGTTGGGGTGCGTCAGTTGGGATGGTCCTCCGTTGCCATTCCCACTTTGATTGGAACCTTGGAAGCCTTGCGGGAATGAGACGTTATGCGGGAAAGTTGGGTCTGGTTGTGGCGGATGCAGGTTGCGCAACGGCAGCATAGTGCGTGATGGAATACCTTCGCTGTGTCTGGGTACAAGAACTGGCGGTAGAACTGAAACATAAAAGACAAACGCAATTAAAAATAGTTTTATATGGCTGGTCATTAACGCTTTAACACGGCTTTTAGCCTGGTGAAACACACACATTGTTTTTACTGTACGTACATTATACATTGAGCTATAAGGAAGAATAAATAATTGCTATTAGCTTCTAACAACAGATTTGAATGGAAAATAAAATATCCAGGTTGACTATTACAGTAATAGACACATAATAATGTTACTATTTTTGTATGACCTTTAAATTAACTGTTAATCAATTAACAGTCAAAAAAAAAACCACAACTTATTTGAGGCTTACTGTACCATTCCAAAACTAGCATATTGTTGCTAAATGTTAAACCGAGTAAAACTATATTAAAAAGTCGAGTTTCATTTTTTGGTTACTGATAGTGGTTTTTGGATGGTAAGCCTCATTTGACTCTCTGTACAGAACATGACTAGAAGTTCATAATTTATTTGACTGCTTCATAAAAAGCAAATTTATTATTTTAATTGAATTTAGTGATTTTTCTAGATTATAATTTATTATCAACAAAATCATCTTTGGTAAAAAAAAAAAAATCTTTGGGGAAAAAAAAAAAAAAAAAAAACCATACTGAAACCAAATGAAAGAAAGTTATTATTATGTATACTGTAGCATATGGAAAGCAAACAATGTCCCATTAAAGTAAACTAGAATAGATCCACTGCATTAAACATTTATACAAGAGTTAAATGCTGTAATCTGTGGGTGGCTATGCTAATGTATTGCCAATTGCTATAAACCACTGTCAATGTATTATTGTGCATCAAACAACATTTCGCTTGTTCTTCAAATCTAAAATTAGGGTAATACTATATACACCTCAAGGTTAATGCAACATAAAGCTCTGTGACATGTCTAAATATGATCATAATGACATCACATCAAGACCATATATAGACACATCATGATCATATATAGGCATATAACAGTTTTTTTGTCAAAGAAAATTTGATACATTAATCTGGACAAAGCTTTAATAATAAAGGTTCATCAATAACAATAATGCGAGCTGTGCCCATTGGCCTAGTCAATACAACAATACTTAAACTGAGATCAATTTACCTTCCTTTTGACAAAAATATGTCAATAAAATTATAAAAGGAAATGTACTGTTAACAATTTCCTACTACAGCTTGTCCTCCAGATCGAGATCGTCTGATTGCCAGACTTCTCTGTTCGAGACCATTTAAAAAAAATACGAAAAAAGTCTTCTCTAACTGTTATTAAGACATAATAGCTAATCCATTTTTGAGACGGAACTCCACACACATGAGGCATTTTCTGAGTTTCGGAGAGCCAAAATAAATAAAAATATCAACGGAAAGTGGTAAAAAGTTGGCAATAAAATAGGGCTGTTAGACCCAACAAGAATTGAATTCCTGTAAAAAAGGTCTTAATATTTCATGGTTTGTCGAAAAACTTTTACCACTGCATTCTATCATCATTAATACAATAATATAGATGTTAGGCCTTTTGCTGAAGGGGACAATGAAGCCCAATATGTTTACCCTATCTAGGAAGGCTTTTTTTTAAATTTTATAGTCTGTGTTTCCTTAGCACTTATAAATTCACTGATAAATTAACTTAAAATTCCCTCCAAATATATTATCCCATCATGCAGCATAATGGACAACAATGCAATGTGTTCAACAACAACAAAAAAAAAAAAATTCTAATTTGTTTAAATTTTTTCCCCCAAACCAAAAGACATGCGGGCGAGGGTGATAAACTAATCTTTGTGGGGCTAATTTTTATGGGGCCTAACAACATACTATATTTCATTAAAATATGCAAATACTGCAGGTTTTAAAAAACTTGTTTGTGTACCAATTAAGCAAGTGTGCTTATCTAGCACTGAATCAGTAAAAATTCTTGTAGTGGCAATGACTGAGTGTGGGAAGGTCCTTTTTTTTTGTTAAACTAGCTCACCCAAACATGATGGGGTGCGGGAGCAAGCCGGCATGAGTTCCTGCTTATTACTGTATTTAATTGGACGGCCTTGTTCCAGGAGAGCCAAGGACAATACAATACTGGATACCAATTTGTGTAGGGTATGCACAAATCTATTGTTTTTTTTATGTAAACATGAATAAATAATCAGCTATATTATATAGCCATACACAATGGGTAGGCATTTTGTAGTATTGATTTTCTTTTAGAGATTTTGATCCAGTATGAATTATTTAACATAACAATGTAGTATAGGGCCTATTGTGATTGTATTTCTAATTGTATGCTTGTGTTATGCACATCATAAAATGTTTATGTGAAGCGCTGTACAATAAATTGTGAATTTTAATAAATTCAAATTTATATCCATTGTATATTCTAAGTGCTAGAAGCACCAATTGGGGTGTTATGGTGTAATGTCACTGATGTACAACTCTGTAGTCACTAAGCTGTTTAAAATGCAAAATTGAAATGAACATGTTTGCTATATTTTATTTTTGTTTTTTGTCCTAAATAGATGTGTTGGGTTAAGATATAGACAAATAATGTTACTGTAAATACCCGAATAAGCGCTACTCTCGAATAAGCGCCGCTTTTGAATAAACTCCGCACAAACTAAGCACCGTTACAGTGCTTAATCAAGAGTATATTGCCCTGTATGTATCAAAATACTTTGAGAAACATGGATTTTAAATACAAGATGGTGTTAAAATGAATAAATAACACAACGAAGACGCAAGCATTTCTTTGTAAATGTTTATTTACGATGATGTAGGACCTATGATAGGCCTACTAAACTGCAGGAATATGCGAGATCGTCAATATTTCTTTTATAAGCGCAGCTCTCAAATAAGCGCCACTCTTGAATAAGTGCCGCACCGAAGCTCCAAAAATGTTAAAGCCCTGCGGCGCTTATTCAAGCATTTACGGTACACTCCTTTGCACTTGCTCACTCTAGAAGAAAAACCAAAAATAATGGCAAATCTCTATAAGGCTGAGAGAATGAAGCTACTTTTTAATGCGAGACAAATTCCTGGTCGCTGAAGCCTTGTACAGACTATAACAGTTTTGTTTTTTGAAGACAAAAACTTGGGTGACATGCCTAAATATAGTATGGTCATGAAATCATATCATGACCACATATAGGCACATCACTATGGGCATATATCAGGTTTGTTGTCAAAGAAAATTTGAGTCTGGACATAGATTAGCACGCTCGAACCAATGATCCTAGGATTGGATGGCAAGCACCTTAACCACTCAACCATAGCTGAACCGACTAAGTGTTCTGTACAACTGTACATCTCATAAGAATTAAGACTTAATAAAGCGCTTTCGTAACAATCAATATGAATAGGAAATGGCAAGTTATTTCTGGATCTCCTAACTGGCAAAGTAAATTTCTCACTCGGTTTTCTAATTGAAAGACTGTATTGGTAATAACCTAAATATAGAAAGTAAACAATTCAAATATTGCATTTTTATTAACACGTTCGTTGCCAGGGACACACTTCACATCCGCCAGGGTTTACTCAGGGCACCAAAGGACGCGACTTTGCATCCACGTTTGTCTCACATAACACTATTTTACTGTACATAAACGTGCCAACAGTAGTTGCCAGAAAACAAATTACCGCCCCTGGAGTTTCAGGAAAGGACCTGGAAGTTATGATCTAAAAATAAATACTAAACGTAATGATTTTCATATGGTGGCACCCTTTATGCCTTGGCATATGCGGATGAAACTAGGAAAAAACGCATGGCAGTCAACATGTTACCTTTTTTAAAGTTCATAACAGACAGTACGTCTTTTTTAATTCACCATCAGTTAATACACATGTTTGTCCAGAAAACAAACTGAATCATCAAATTTTATTGGACATCTTTCTGAGACATTCATAAAAATTTAAGTCAAAGCAGGCCAATTTCATTATAGTCATCACAATAGAGAAACAGAATGAATCAGAATTTCCCCATTGAACCTTTTTACCATCAGTTCTTTACACTGTTATTTTGAGCTTAAATCGGATGTGCCGACTTTAGGGTTATCTGGAGGTGAACTTGAACAGCCAGTATTTCAGCAGACTGGAGCCATTTTTCAGGCCATAGATTCTATTATCGAAACAGAAAAACATAATTCATCGCTAAGCTTGACTTTAACAGAAGGGTTAAGAATAAGTTTTGAAATTCTATTCAGATTATACTAGAATCCTTTGCATTCAACTCCAATCAGGTATGTAGTTTCGTAACCACTGGTGAACTTTTGGTCTGTCTACGTGCAAATCGTCTAAACGTAAACAACAAACATTTAACTCAGTTCGTTGTTACAAAAAAAACTTACTTAAAACCTATTTCTTTATTGATTTTGAAAACATATGCTAGTGTATATAATAAACAAGATTTGAACAAAATTAATAATTCCTGCTTTTCTCTCATAAAAGTAATGCCATAAAAAAATAAAATGTAAAGCAAACCGACCAAGAGGCCAACAAAATTTAGCATGACTATAGAAAAGTGGAAAAGCAACAGAACATATAATTGAAAAAAAACAAACTATTAGCTATAATTCTCATCTGAAAATGTCTATACTTTAACAATATCACCATTGAACTTTTATTTTTTATAAAGCTGCGATATAATACTAAAAAAGTCAATATAGAAATTAAGAAAACATTTTTTTTCCAAAAACATATTATTCTACAGGAATAAACCAACACTATGTTATTGAAATGACAAAAAAATATCTCCATCAAACTGCTGTTCATGACAAGATGTTGATATAACAAACCGCATCAGTAACATACTATAATCTACTAGATTAACCCGATATATTACCTAGATCTGCTAACCACTTACGCCTTCCTTATATGGATCAGATACATGTTGATAAAATGTCTGAAGCATGCATGCAATATGTACGATAAGACATATCCAGTCAATTAAACACACAAAAGCATGCAAAACGAGATAGCGTGCATAGATGAGACTACCATAAAAAGACTAGCGTGTTACAGT